CCTTAAAAGAAGTGGCAGGATACAAGATCAACTCAAAAAAATCAGTTGCCCTCCTATACACAAAAAATAAAAAAGCTGAGAAAGAAATCAAAGAAACATCACCTTTCACAGTAGCAACAAATCACAAAAAAATACCTTGGGGTAACACTAACAAAGAACATGAAAGACATATTTGACAAAAACTTTATGTCTTTGATGAAAGAAATTGAAGAAAATATCAGAAAATGGAAAAATCTCCTATGATCCTGGATAAGAAGGATCTACATAGTAAAAATGGCAATCTTACCAAAGGGAATCTATAGATTCAATGCGATCCCCTTCAAAATCCCAACAAAATTCTTCACAGACCTTGAAAGAATGATACTCAACCTCATATGGAAAAACAAGAAACTCAGGATAACCAAAGCAATCCTGTAAAATAAAGGAACTGCCAGAGGCAGTACCATCCCTGACTTCAAGATCTATTACAGAGCAACAGTAATTAAAAAAACAGTTTGGTATTGGCATAAAAACAGAGATGTTGACCAATGGAATCAAATTGAAGACCCAGATATTAATTCACACACCTATGAACACCTGATTTTTGACAAAGAAGCAAAAATGATACAATGAAAAAAAGAAAGCATCTTCAACAAATGGTGCTGACATAACTGGATGTCAAACTGTAGAAAAATGAAAATAGATCTATATCTGTCACCATGCACAAAACTCAAGTAAAAATGGATTAAAGACCTCAATATAAATCTGGAGTAGGAGGTCCATCTGCATTAGCGTTGCCTTCATTAGTTGAATAAAGAGACTGCCTTGGCCTTTTGATAGGGCAGTCCTTAGGTAGGAAAAGTAGACAGAAATGGTACATCCACCATTTTTGAAATTGGAGAGAGGTGGAGCCAACGTCCAGAGCAGCCACAACCTAGATGCTTAGCATTTTAAAGGCTCTTCAAGACAGCAGAGAATTTCTTCAAACTTTTTGTTATATTTCTCATCTATTTCTATACTCATTTCTTCAAACTTTTTGTTATATTTCTCATCCAATTCTTTAAGGGAGTTATTCATATTCTGTTTAAGGGACTCTATTGCTTTCATAATGGCACTTTTTTCCACTTCTTCTGGGTTAAAGAAGGTATTCAAGTCCTTCTATTGTAGGGTCCTTGGGATCTGGTGTTTTCATGTTGTTTTTCAGATTGTTGGATGAGGTCTTGCCTTGGCGTCTGCCCATCTCTTACTTCAAATGGACCGCGAGGGGTGCGATCACCCACTGATACAAGGGGACTGATCTAATGAGAGTTCACCAAGGCCAGTTGGACTGGGACTGAACGAGGATGTGATCTAACCAGATTCTCGGAATTTGGCCGGATTTTCTGAATGTGGCTGGCCCGAAGTCTTTCTGAAAAGCCATTGACTATGACACTGGGACTTGTTTCCTCTGCATATACTGGATTTTGGGGATCCAGTCTGTTTGGATACTCACCTTCCTGGACCTGGAGGGAGGGGGGAGGAACTTGAACTCCCACAGGGCAGGAAACCCTGACTGCCCTAAGGGACGAAGAGGGAGGAGGAGAGGGAGTGAGGGGAGTGGGAGGGTGTTGGGAAGAGGGGCGGAAATCGAAACTTTTATAATTTAATAAAATTACTTTCAAAAAAAAGACAGCAGACGTCCGCGAACGGTCACGTGACCGGGGCGCGCTGCAGCCGCCTGGGGCGCACCCGGCGAAAGGCAGCGGCGGTGATGGACGGGTCGGGGGAGCAGCTCGGAGGCGGCGGGCCCACCAGCTCTGAGCAGATCATGAAGACAGGGGCCTTTTTGCTACAGGGTTTCATCCAGGATCGAGCTGGGAGGATGGCTGGGGAGACACCTGAGCTGACCTTGGAGCAGCCACCCCAGGATGCATCTACCAAGAAACTGGGCGAGTGTCTCCGGCGAATTGGAGATGAACTGGACAACAACATGGAGCTGCAGAGGATGATTGCTGACGTGGATACAGACTCCCCCCGAGAGGTCTTCTTCCGTGTGGCAGCTGACATGTTTGCTGATGGCAACTTCAACTGGGGCCGGGTTGTTGCCCTCTTCTACTTCACTAGCAAACTGGTGCTCAAGGCCCTGTGCACCAAAGTGCCCGAGTTAATCAGAACCATCATGGGCTGGACACTGGACTTCCTCCGAGAGCGGCTGCTTGTCTGGATCGAAGACCAGGGTGGCTGGGATGGCCTCCTCTCGTACTTCGGGACCCCCACATGGCAGACAGTGACTATCTTTGTGGCTGGAGTCCTCACTGCCTCTCTCACGATCTGGAAGAAGATGGGCTGAGGCCACCTGCTGCCTTGGACTGTGTCTTTTCTTCATAAATTATGGCATTTTTCTGGGGTGAATGGGGACAGGGGACAGGCATTTTTCTTACTTTTGTAATTATTGGGAAGGGTGGGAATGGTGGCCTGGGGGAGGGGACAATAAACCTCAGGTCCACTTTGGAAAAAAAAAAACAAAAAACAAAAAAAAAGACAGCAGAGAATTAAGGACAATAGAATTAGACAGATTCAGACATAAAAGACCTCTAAATGGGTCATAGTGTTAGATAAACATAGACTTAGAAGAGAAAAAATAAAGAGTATAGAGACTCATAAAATAAAGTTAATGCTTTAAAAAAAAAAGGGTAAAGTCTTTAAAGAGACCGAGTACACATAGTTTTAAATTAAAAGGAAAAAATAAGCCACATAAAAACTGAAAATTCACAGAGATTCTAGATTAGGTGTATTACTGTGTTTTCTTTGAATTTTTTGACTGTAAAGGAGGTAAGTGCAGAGAGACATTTCATTGTATGGGCTGTTAAGCTAAACGAGCATGTGTATATTATAAAGGTATCTTGACTTCAGAATTTGGGTCTAAGGATATGATGCTTTGAAAAAGAGATTCTTCTTTTGTTTTCACAAAAGATGAGACCCTCTGGATTGCCTCCAGGTCATTATGGTATGATAGACCATGCCCCCATGAAAGGCTGCTGTGAATACCCTCAAAAACTTACTTTGCTGAACTGCTGACTGAGATGAATCTAGCACATAGAACACACCATGAAAAACCTGATTAACAGCACCTCCATTCAGCACAAAGCAGTTTGGAGAGAAAAAACTGCACCCATATTCCCAAATGTTGTTTATAAATGTTCTTTTACATTTAAAGGGGGATATGATATAGATATGAATAATTTACATTGGTATAAATTTTGCTTTATTGATATAAATTTAAGGACAATTTTGGTATATGTATATTCCTGTTCTTGATTAAGGTACTGTGATTGTGTAGTTCATTTAAAAATGTAATGTATAATTAGGAAATATAGGTTGTTAATGGATAATCATCGATAATAGTCAAACTTGTAGTCATATTAGATTTTCTAGCTCTATAGAGATATATTTAAGTTAGATAGGTATTCTTCACATCTTTCAAAGACTACAGAATATGGCATTTAAAATGTTTTAATAACGTAGGGCTTTTCATGACAATGAGACATATCTGTTCCTGGCAGCATCAATCTACTTCAAGAAAAAGATGGGCATCAAAGAGGCTCCTTATGGAGTTGGTCATTTGGGCAAGAAACTGCTCTTGCCTGGACTAATGCATAAACTGGACATGAAGAACCCACAGAGAGATGACTGCTAAACTTGGCTAAAAATGAGATGATCCTTTGGGGTTCCTCATTCATGAAAGAATCTGCGAGACATTTTACAGTACACAGAAGAAAGTGACTGAGCTGTTTTGAAAATTCCTGCTTCATGGAAAAGTCTGCTGGATACTATGGGCTTGTAGGCTGAAGATGTATGCCCCAATGGTACAGAATAACTTTGAGTGGCTGTCCAGGCAGCAAGATGTCTCTGTCATTTCTAGAGTTTTGGAAGCTGCTTACAATGTACTTCCTGTTTACTTAGGTAATATTATATCCTTCTGGAGTCTTTGATGGAATTGAAGAATAGATAGATAGTTATACTTTTCCATTGTTATGATAAAAGATAAAATAGATATAAATATTGTAACTGTAATTCTTGCTTGATGATTGTTTTGTTATATGTAATTTTACTATGTTAAAGTGAAAGTCTTTCTTCTTTGTTTAAAAAGAAAAAGGAAAAATGGTGTAAGAGGTCCTTATGTATTTGTGTTGCATTCATTGCTTGAACAAAGAAACTGCCTTGATCTTTCCATAGGGCATAACTTAGATAGGTGGGGAAAAGAGAACTAAATGCTGGGAGAAAGAAGGCAGGCAGAGAGAGCCGCCATGGAGTCACAAGAATAAGACATGCTGAATTTTTCCCAGTAAGCCATGACCTCATGGTGACATACAGATTATTAGAAATGGATTGAATCAAGATGTGAGAGTTAGCCAATAAGAGGCTAGAGCTTATGGTCCAAGCAGCAATTTAATTAATACAGTTTTCTGTGTGGTTATTTCAGGGATTAAGCAAGATGGGCATCCTGCTCCTCCTCACAACAGATGGAGATAGAGACAGAGACCCATATCGGAGCACTGGATTGAGCTCCCAAGGTCCAGTTGAAGAGCAGAAGGAGGGAGAATATGGGCAAGGAGGTCAGGACTGCAAGGGGTTGGTCCACCCACAGACAGTGTGCCTGATCTAATGGGAGTTCACAAAATCCAGCTGGACTGGGACTGAACAAGCATGGGATCAAACTGGACCCACAAAATGCGGCTGACAATTGGGGCAGCCTGAGAAGCCAGTGATAATGGCACTGAGATTTGTCTCTACTGCATGTACTAGCTTTTAGGGATCCTAGTCTATTTGGTTGCATACCCTCCTAAGCCTTGAAGGAGGGGGGAGGGCCTTGCACTTCCCACAGGCCAGGGTATCCTATCTTCTCTTAGAACTGGAGGTGGAGTGGTGATGGGGAGGGAAGTGGGAGGAGAGGAGAAAGTGGAAATTTTGAATGGTATTATTTATAAAGTAATAAAAATAAATAAATAAATAAAAAAGAAGAGTCTGTGGATAATCTAGTGTGCTTTTTTATCAGGTTTATTAGCAGCAGAAAAGAGTCTAACACAAACAACTGAGAAAAAAGTAGTTGCTGTCTCTATACATAATTCTGTGATTCACAGGATTTTGGAATTGATTTGTGGTAGAAGATTAAAAAATATATAAAATCACAGAAGCTGAACAACTCACTAATGGATGAAATTAGGTCCAAGACAGAAATCAAGAATGAAATGTAAAGCTGTTTAGAATTCAATAAAACTGAAAATACAACATACCCAAACACGTGAGACACATGAAGGCAAAGTTAAGAGGCAAGTTCATAGCACTACGTTCATAATTCAAACACTAGAGTGTTCTTGCATCAACAAATTAATGACACATTTGAAAATTCTAAAAAGAAAAAAGTAAGAGCAACACAATACACAAAAAGAGTAATTGGGGAGACACAGTCAAAATCAGGGCTGAAATTAGTAAACCAGAAACCAAAATAAAGCAATAAGAGAATACTATTAAACTCTGTGAAGTACTAAACTGGAAAAGCTACACAAAGAGGATGATATTTTTTGCTATGTTCTTAATTTAAATAGAATTATATCACTTCCTCTTTCCTTTGCTTTCCCCAACTACCCAGCCACCATCCAATGAACCCCTGCAATGCCCACTCTCAAGTTAACAGGATTTTTCTCTTTTATATTTGCAACATACACAAATTAATAAATACGGTCTATGGGGTATCTTATAGATGTTTATCTGTATATAGTTTCAAGGCTGGCCACTCCACACTGGAAAACCAATAATGAGGCTCATCTTTTACAGTCAATGATTGGCATCACACCCAGAGATTCAAATTCATAGTGTTTATAAGTTCAACAAACATTATGAGCATAATCTACCATATACACAGACTAAAAAACCATGATTATCAAATTAGAAAAAGAATTCTAACATAGCTTCATAGCAAAAGTTCTGGAGAGACCAATGATACAAGAGACATATCTCAACATAATAAATATCATTTGATACAGGTCCACAGTCAGCATCGACTTAAACAGAAATTAAAAGCATTTCCACTAAAATTGGGAACAAGGCAACAATGTCCACGTCCTCATACCTATTAAACATAGTATGTGAAGTTTTATCGACAGCCCGCTGTCATTTTGTCTTAATGTTTTTGGGTATGTCATTGGACTTTTATATCTAATTGGGGTTGGATCACTAATTGGTTGGTTTTGTTTTGATGGTCTAATTTTGAGGCTGAAACTCACTATATACCTGAGGATGGTCATGAACTTCTGATCCACATGAGTTCAGGAATCACAGACATATATACCACCAAGCCCAGTTCAAAGCACTTCTGGAGATCCAAGCCAGGATTTTGGGAATGCTAAACAAAGACTGTACTGACTGAGTAGCATTGTCTATGCATCCTTTCAAACCATTATTGAGGGTGGGTTTGGGTTTGGATTTACTTTTTCCTTAGCTCTTCAGGAGTTTCATAGTATGTACACATTAGTATTCACATTAGAAAAAGGATGTCAAACCAAAGGAATCTGAAGTCAGAAGCCTGTTCAACAGGAGTTGCAGCCTTACTGTGCAAAACCTAAGAAGCCACACACCTTTACACAGGTAATAAGAGTGCTTCTGCTACAAGCTAGGGAAGTTTTGTTGTATTAGAAGATTGGGGAGGAAAAGAAACTGTATGTGTGGACAGGTGGCCATGGTTCTATACCTGGGAAGGGATTAAAATTGTGGTTTGGTTGACTTTTAAGCACATGAGATGTTTTGTAAAAAAAAAAAAAAAAAAAAAAAAAAAAAAAAAAAAAAACTCTGTGCCATTCTTAGAAGCAGAAGTTCAGGTAAAGGGTCCAAGATGGCAGCACAGTTATTCTATCAGTTTCGGTGATGGAAATTATATTAGAATAGGATCCATGTTATTTGTACACTAGTCAAAAAGCATCAGGAATTTGCTTAAATCAGTTTAAGACATATCGTACTTGATTATTATATTCTAGAAAACTATAACTGTGATCATTAGGTGAAAATATCTCTCCTTAACACTTTTTTCAGAGCCTTAGCAACATCCTTATTCCTGAGAGTATAAATCAGGGGATTCAGGGTAGGAGTAATGATGCTATAGAAAACAGAACCAACTTTGTCTTGCAATGGAGTGCGCTGGGATCGGGGTCTCATATAAGAGAACATGCATGCACCAAAAAAAAGGGAAACCACTGTAAGATGAGAGCTGCATGTGGCAAAGGCGTTTCTCTTACTCCCAGTTGAACGCATCTGCATGACGCTGTGCAGAATGAATCCATAGGAGGTAGAGACAAAAATGATAGGGAGGAGAAGAAGAATAACGGTGCTGATGTAGGCTGTGTTCTCATACACAGTCATGTCCCCACACACCAACTTCAAAACAGCTGGAAATTCACAGTAGAAGTGGTGGATGATTCTTGAACCACAGAAAGGGAAGTTCATCAAGACAGATGTGTGGATTAGGGAGTTCACAGATCCACTCAACCATGATATGACAGCCATCATCACCCCCACTCTACTGCTCATGAGCACAGTGTAGCGTAAGGGGTGACAGATGGCAACATAGCGATCATACGACATGAGAGCCAGGAGGACACACTCTGCACCACCAAGAGACAGGTACATGAAGTGCTGGGTGGCACAGCCCACAAACGAGATGGACTTCTTGCCAGACAGGTAGTTGGTCGCCATCTTGGGAATGGTTGTGGAGACATGCATCAGATCCATGAGGGACAGCTGGCTGAGCAGGAAGTACATTGGTGTGTGAAGACGGGGGTCAGTGCAGATGAGGAGGATGGTGAGGCTGTTGCCACTCACTGCAGTGAGGAACACCAGCATGATCAGGAGGAAAAGACAAAGGTGGTTGAAGGAGTCATCAAAGAGCCCTTGAAGGATGAAGTCTTCCAGAGCAGTCTGGTTCCACCTCCACATGCTCCTCTCCTCCACCTCTGAGAAAACCAGGAGAGGACAGGAGTGTGATGTAAGAAACACAACTTCACAATGAACACTCTTTCTCAGGACAAATGCGGAGGTTTTTTTCCTTTATTTACATATTTTCAGTGTCATTGTAAATATCCATTGAAGTGATACTGGGTCACATGTTTACAATTTGTAGAAGTGTCTATCTATTTATAATTGTACAATAACTCTAGTTCTTCAAGTGATATTTTAAAAAGAGAAACCTACAAATCTCTCTTCAAAGTCATCATCACTGTGAAGTTCCAGATTATCTACACTGTACAGAAAGCCCAACATGGGAGCTGAGGAGACATCTCACCAAGTACAATTTAGGTTCCATACAAGCCTGGCTGGTCAAGGTTGGTCCCCGAGGCTTGTGAGGAATCGTCAGGTGTGAATGGTGTTGAAATGCTGTGAAATGCTGTCTTCTGGACAGAGCATGGCCACTGCACTCCTGAACTCAGTGCTGATAGGATCACATGAATGAGACCACCCAACATTCATCAAGAATTGTGACCCAGTCTGAGTAAGCGACAAATAAAAGGGAGGATGTGCACATAAAGGAGGGTGAAGTACATGATGCAGGACAGGTAGGAAGGAGTCCATCTAGGTGTGATCAAATACATAGTACGTGAATATGGAATTATAGAGGGGGGTTTCTGCATCCTTATTTTTCTAAAGGATTATTAAGTTTTGGTTCTTTAAAGATGAGTCAGTGTTTCTTGCTGTTTTTATGGAAACTCAAATGCAGTTTTAAGTAGTAATTCTCAGCCTTCCCAATGCTGTGGCCCTTTGATACACTTCCCCGTATTGTGGTGACCCACCAAATGTAAAATTGCTTTCACTGCTAGTTCATAACTGTAATTTTGATACTGTTATGAATTCTAAATATTCTTGGTTGTGACTCACAGACTGAGAGCTGCTGGATTAAGGAAACACACAAGAGTAGTAAGATAAAGCATAGGGAAGCAGCTCTAAACATACCCCCCAGAAAAGGAGCCGGAGCTACCTCCTGTATATAATTGTGCCCACCAAATTGTGTATCATGGACAGAAGAAACTAGGATTGTAGATGTTCATCAGCCAAGATTTCCTATCAAGTTCTCTTATGAATACTAATAAAATTGATTGCTGAATCTCCATGGTGAAGAATAACTCAAAGAAACCTAAATTGATCTTACAATAGTACCCTATCTTTCTTAGGTTCCCCCCACCACTTCTATTCTGTTTGTACAATGTCCTCCTGACTGCAACACTCCCTAAATCATGAAGGATGGAAGATGCTCCTGAAACAGGAAGTAAACAAACTTCACACATTTAGAAAACCTGAAACTTTCAAGAGTCTTGAGGATCCCTTCCCAAAGATGTGAAAACAGCAAACAGAAACTGTGGAGGAGACTCCCACACACCGTGTTACTAAGAAGAGACTCTCCTACCATTGGGTCTGATTGCAGGGCATGCAAAGAGCTCCAGGGTTTTGTAGCTCACGTGAATCATTATGAGTTTTCAGATTGGCTCTTCTGTAATGCAGCTACTTTTGAGTTCACCCTGCTCCTGAAAATAGCCACTTCCCATAATTAATAAACTGCTTGCTTCACCAAATTGAACTCTGCTATAATCATTACTTTAGACTGTCATGGATTTGGGGTGAGTAGATGCTGTGTCTCCTTGGGGAAAGGTCTCACACAACACATACTAAAGATCTACAAGGATTTTAGTACATTCCAAATTGTTTATGTTTTCAAGTAAAGAACTCAGAACTAAATGCAATCTTCATAGATTAATTGAACCAATGAAGCATCCTATTTCTTAGACCATATGTTAACCAAGGCATTTCAATATCTCATCTTTACAGTTATCATATAAGTGGGTATTTCAGTCTCATCCTATGTGGATTTACATATGAACTTTAAGTCCAGTAAGATGGTTTGTTGATGAAGAAAGCCTCCTCTCAGCTTGATAAACTGAATTCAAACCATAGGGTTCAAATGATGAAGGAACAGGTTATCTTCTGAACTACATACAAAAAGCAATGACAGACTATTCGCACAAAAATTAATTAATTTGTTTAAAAAATAAATAATGAAATAATTTTAGAGACAAATGAAGTTCTTTTTGCTATTTCTGATTGCTTCAGCAGCTGGGAGATCTATGAACACACTTACTTATCAATCACTTACCACATCAGTGTCCAGCCAATGGTCTCTGTGGATACCCCTATCAAAAATACTCCATTATCCGGGTCCTTGATTCCCCTAGGAAGTTGCTGACATTTTCCCAATCTACTTTGGGTTCTTTGAAGACGTTTTTCTCTGCTTTCTATGAAGGCTGTCCTCTTGTGTTCTATCAGTGATGCCCTGTGACTTAAGGGATTGCTGACATTCATCAAATTACTAGTAAAGGTTTCCAGGATACTGCAATCCAAGCATTGTCATACCTGGAATTTCCTCAACAGAGTCCTGGGGTCAGAACAAGCATATGTGTATAATGGAGCTAGCAGGAGAGTCCACCCTGACACACAAACAAGTTGGCTACTCTTCTGCAAAGCAGGCCTTCCCTTTAGTGCACATCACTCTTCATTCTCTAACCCTGGACATATTCACTTGCTAGTGAAGCTGCATTACTTACCCCAATAGCAGCACCACAGGAACAACAGGAATCTCACAGCCTGTGTTCACATTCTGAACTCTGCAACATATTGCACCACAATCTTGCTCAGGGCTTTATCAGACAGACTATTGCCAGGAAAGACTCAGCAATGGGCTAATGCCAATTATGCTAGTTTGGTAATACAAGCATTCTGAGGGTTCTCTCTGAATCAAAACCTCTACTGTAGACTGCTTTCTATTCCAGCCCAAAAGGGTGAGCAAGAAGGATTTTCAAGACTGCAATACAGTTTAAATCATCACATTCTGAAAGCCAAGAAAAAATTAGGATTTGGATTCCTCTCCTGTTTGGATTCCTAAAGCTCTCTGTATTATATATAAATGGATACTCTACTTCTGTTATTGAAGTTGAAATCATCAGATCCAGTCAGGAAGACCCTTTCTGATTCTACAAAGGTCACTGAAGACACCAGAATTGAAACAGCCTTTGGTGAGCCAGACAAGAGGAAAGAGGAAAGCCATCTATGAGAAAAAAATAAACCTCTCCAAGCAATGGACCTGTGATGCCAGCTGGACCAAGATGAAAAAACTAAATTGACAGCACAGGGACTTTCCCACAAAGGCTGCATTCTGGACCTCTCCTGGGAACACCCACCCCAGACGGTGTGGTGCTCTGCACATTGAGAAATGAATCACCTAAGACTTTACTTCGACTTTGTTTGTGGAGTCAGAGGAATAAGGTATCTGGGAAGAGTTGGCCCTGGGGATAATGCAGGAGTATTCTAACTAGGGACCAATTAACCATGGGACCAATTAACCATGATGTTCTTGTTTTGGAACATATCTCTTTCTTGACTATTTCCATGCAACCCTTTGACATAGTTTAAGCAAACATCACTAAAAGGGGGTGTCCCTAGAATGCTGAGGGGCAAGGAAAGCACTGATCTTTGTACTGAAGCACCCTAGAGAATCAATCAATATGCCTGCAACTCTCAGTGTTTGCAGACATTGCTCAACTGTAAACCACCTATAGCTATGAAGGTCATAGGAAAGGCACAGTTTTAGGCAACCAGACTATCACAGGCTTTTAACTCTAACTCTCCATAAGTGACACTGGTTAATGGGACTCCACACTCCCTACATGATGACAGGGCCCTGACCAACGGACCCTCCACAATGCAATATTAAACCTAGATAAACTTCTTTGCAGGACAATTTCTGATCTTCTTCCTACAAAAGACAATTTGAGGTCTGAAGATGTGGCTCAGTTAGTACAGTGAAAGCAAGTGGAACTCCGTTTGCTGCCCAGCCCCTAATATAAAAAGTAGCAGATACTAGAAACCCAAGTAGAGGGGAGAAATGAAAGCAAGAGGACACCAACAACTTGCCAGCAAGCCAGCCCAGCTCAGTCAGTGAGCTCTAGGTTCCGTGAAAGACCCAATATCAAAACTTTAAGTGTCAAGTGACTAAGGAAGACACCTGATATAAACCTACAAACTCCATATATATCTGTACACATTCATGTACAGAAACAAGTACACACAAAGTGGTGCAGGACAGTTCTGTATTCTATCAATTATCTTTTAAATAAATGTTGATTGACCAGTAGCCAGGCATGAAGTAGTGGAGGGACAATGAGGACAGGAGTATTCTGGGAAGAAGGAAGTTCTTTCTCCAGTCCTGTCCAGACAAAGAAAAAGCAGGATATGACCTGCCCTGCTGAAAAAGGTACTGAGCCATGTGGCTGACATAGATAAGAATAATAGGTTAATATAAGTTAAAAGACTTAATAAGAAGCCTGAACTAATGGGCCAATCAGTTTATCATTAATATAGACCTCTATGTAATTTCTTTGGGGTTTATCGGTTGTGGGAACTGGGCAGGACAGCAACCCCAACAAGCAGGTCCTCATGTTACACAAAAAAAGATTGATATTTATGGCTATTCAAGACTTGAAAACTGAAATAGAAAAATAAAGAAAACACAAGCTGAGGGAATTATACAAACAGAAATCATGAGAATATGATCAAGAACCACAAGCAAAAGCATGCACAGCAGAATACAAAAGATGGAACGGAGAATCTCAAGCACTGAAAGTACCATAGAGGAAATAGACTCATCAGTTAAAGGAAACATTAAAACTAACAAAAGCTTAACCCAAAATATCCAGGAAATATGGGACACCAAAAAAGGACAAATCTAAGAATAATAGGTTTAGAATAAGGAGAAGTTCAACTCAAAAGCACAGAAAATATATTTAACAAAATCATAGAAGAAAACTTTCCCAACCTAAAGAAAGATATGCCTATAAAGGAACAAGAAGCTTACAGAACACCAAATAAACTGGACCCACAAAAAAAACCCTTCGCCACATAATAACCAAAACACTAAACATATAGAGTAAAGAAAGAATATTAAGAGCTGCAAAGGAAAAAGGCCAAATAACATATAAGGTAGACCTATCAGAATTACACCTGGCTTCTCATTGAAGACAATAAAAGCCAGAAGATCATGGTCAAATGTTATGGACACATTAAGAGATCATGGATACTAGCCCAGACTACTATACCCAGCAAAACTTTCAATCTCCATAGAAGTACAAAACAAGATATTTCATAACAAAACTAGTTTTAACCAATACCTAGCCAAAAACCCAGCCCTACACAAAAATACTAGAAGGAAAACTGCAACCCAAAAAGATGGCTACACCAACAAAAACACAAACAGTTGATGGTCTCATAGCAGCAAATCCCAAAGAAGGGGGAAATGCACAAATTAACGTCACCAACAATGACAACTAAATTTACAGGAGGTAGCAATCCCTGGTCATTAATATCCCTTAATATATATGGATTCAATTCATCTATAAAAAGGCACAGGATAACAGACTGGATATGAAAACAGAATCCATCCTTCTTCTGCATACAAGAAACACATCTCAACCTCAAGACAAACATCATCTCAGAATAAAGGGTTGGGAAAAATATTCAAACAAATGGACCTAAGAAACAAGTCAATATACCTATCTTAATTTCTAAAAATAATAGACTTTAAGCTAAAAATCAATCAAAAGAGACAAAGAAGGTCATTACATTTTAGTCATAGGAAAAATTCATCAAGAGGAAATCTCAATACTGAACATCTATGCCCCAAATACAAGGGCACCCTCATGTGTAAGAGAAACACTTCTAAAGCTTAAATCATATATTAAACCCTACACACTAATAGTGGTAAACCTCAACACTCCCTTCTCACTACTGGACAGGTCAGTCGGACAAAAAAATAGAGAAATTAGGAAATTAACAGAGATTATGATTCAAGTGGAATTAATAGACATCTATACAACACTCCATCCAAACAGAAAAGAATATACCTTCTTCTCAGCACCTCATGGAACCTTCTAAAAAATTGACCACATACTCGGTAACAAAACAAACCTCAACAAATACCAAAAAAAAATGGAATAACTCAATGTACCTTATCAGAACACCATGGTTTAAAACTAGAAGTTAACAGCAATAGTTATTCCAGACAACCCACAAACACATGGAAATTGAACAATACTCACCTGAATCATCAAAGGGTCAAGGAATAAATGAAGGGAGAAATTAAAGACTTCCTTAAATTCAATGTGAATGACCACACAACTTATTCAGATTTATGGGACACAATGAAAGCACTGTTAAGAGGAAAAACCATACCACTAAATGCTTACATAAAGAAGTTGGAAAAATCTCACACTCATGAATTAACAGAACATTTGAAAACTTTAGAACAAAAAGAAGCAAATTCACCTCAGAGAACTAGACAACAGGAAATAATCAAATTGAGAGCTAAAATCAGCAAAATAGAAACAAAGAAAACAATATAAAGAATCAATGAGACAAAGAGTTGGTTCTTCAAGAAAATCAACGAATTAGACAAACCTTTATCCAAATTAACCACAAGGCAGAGACAGAATATCCAAATTAAGAAAATCAGAAATGAAAAGGGGGACATAACAACAGACACAGAGGAAATACAGAGAATCATCAGGTCATATTTAGAAAACCTGGCTACACAAAATAGGAAAACTTAAAGGAAATGGACAACTTTCTGGATAAATATCACTTACCAAAAATAAATCAAGACCAGATAAGAAAATTGAGCAGACCTATAACTGAAGAAATAGAAACAGTCATCAAAAGTCTACCAACCAAAAAAGCACAGGAACAAATGGTTTCAGCTCAGAATTCGACAAGATATTCAAAGAAGAACTAATACCAATCCTCCTCAAATTATTCACACAATAGAAACAGAAGGAACATTATCAAACTCTTTTTATGAGGCTACAACTACCCTGATACTCAAACCACAGAAACCACATTACTAAGAAAGAGAATTACAGACCAGAATACAAGAGATAGAAGAAAAAAATCTGATCTCCAAAATATATTTTTAAAAAACTTAAGAAACTATACATTAAAATTCTAAATAACACAATTTTAAAAAATGGGGTACTGAACTGAACAGAGAATTCTCAAAAGAAGAAGTTCAAATAGCCAAAAGACACTTAAGGTCATGTTCAACTTTCTTAGTGATCAGAGAAATGCAAAGCAAAACAACTTTGAGATACCATCTTACACCTGTCAGAATGGCTAAAATAAAACTCACCAATGATAGCCTATGCTGGAGAGGATGTGGAGTAAGGGGAACACTCATCCATTGCTGGTGAGAGTGTAAACTTGTGCAACCACTTTGGAAATCAGTATGGCGGTTTCTCAGGAAATTGGGAATCAACCTACCTCAGGATCTAGCAATACCACTCTTGGGAATATTCCCAAGAGATACCCAATCATACTACAAAACCATTTGCTCAACTATGTTCATAGCAGTATTATTTGCAATAGCCAGAACCTGGAAACAATCAAGATGCCCCTCAATGGAAGAATGGATAAAGAAAGTGTGGAATATATATGCATTAGAGTACTACTCAGCAGTAAAAAAACAATGACATCTTGAATTTTGCTTGCAAATGGATGAAAATAGAAAACACTATCCTGAGTGAGATAAATCAGACCTAAAGAGATAATTATGGTATGTACCCACTCATTAGTGTACTCTAGCCATAAACAAAGGAGATTTAGCCTATAGTTCACAAGCCTAGAGAAGCCAAATAACAAGGTGAACCCAAAGAAAAATATATATAAATCCTCTTGGAAATTGGAAGCAATCAAGATGGCCGGGCAAAAGTTGGGAGCATGGTGGTGGGGATAGTGGTGTGGGTGGGGACAGGGGAAGGGGAGAGGGTGAGAGAGAAGGGAAAAGGGAAAGACTGGGACAGCGTGGGCGAATGGGAGGGTGGAGATGGAGGAAGGGCAGATATTGGAGCAGGAAAGAAGATATCTACATTAAGGGAGTCATTTTAGGGTTGGCAAGAGACTTGGCTCTAGAGGGTATCCTAGGCGTCCACAGGGATGTCCCCAGATAGGGCCTTGGGCAGCAAAGGAGAGGGTACCTGAACTGGCCTTGCCCCACTATCCCACTGATGATTATCTCTTATATCACCATAGAATCTTTGTCTAGCGACGGAAGGAGATAGAAACAGAGACCCTCATCAGAGCAATGGACTGAGCTCCCAAGGTCCAATTGAAGAGTAGAAGGAGGGAGAAGAAGAGCAAGGAAGTCAGGACTGTGAGGGGTTGGTCCACCAACTGAGATAGTGTGCCTGATCTAATGGGAGCTCACCAAATCCAGTTGGACCAGGACTGAACCAGTGTGTGATCAAACCGAACTCTCTGAATGTGGCTACCAATGGGGGCCGACTGAGAAGCCATTGATAATAGCACTGGAACCCATTTCTACTGCATGTACTGGCTTTTTGGTACCCTAGTCTATTGGATGCACACTTCCTAGGCCTGGATGTAGGGGGGAGTGCCTTGGACTTCCCACAGGGCAGGGTATCTTGCCCTCTCTTAAGGAGGGAAGGGGAGGAAGGAGCGGGAGTGGGGGAGCCGGAGGGGAATGACAGGAGAGGAGGAAGTGTAAATTTTTTAACAGAAAAATAGATAGATAGATAGATAGATAGATAGATAGATAGATAGATAGATAGATAGATAGAAAGAGAAGAACGTGGGAACGTGGTGGAGGCAAAAGAGGATGGGAAGGTGGGAGAGAAGGAGAGGTTGGAGGAGAACATGAGAGAATGGGATGGTCAAGATGGGGAAAGGACAGAGAAGGAGAACAAGGAAAAAGATATCTTGATTGTAGGAGTTGTTGTGAGACTAGCATGAAACCTGGTACCAGGGAAATTCTCAGGTATCCACAAGGATGATCCCAGCTAAGACTCTAAGCAATAGTGGAGAAGGTACCTGAACTGGTATTCCCTTATAATCAGATTGATGACTACCTTGTCATCATAGAAACTTCATCTAGCAACTGATGGAAGCAGAATCGGAGATTCACAGTTAAGCACTGGGCCAAGCTTCCAGAGACCAGTCCAAGAGAGGGAGGAGCTATAATATGAGCTAAGGAATCAAGACCATGATGGGGCTACCCATAGAAACAGCTGACCTGAGCTAGTGGGAGCTCCCTGACTTTGGACTGAAATGGAGAAACCTGAATAAGACCAAACTAGGACCTCTGAATGTAGGTGACAGATGTGTGGTTGGGGTAGGCTTTGCTGTCACTGGCAGTGGGACCAGGATTAATCCCTGGTGCTTGAACTGGCTTTTTGGAGCCCATTCTTTTTGGAGGGATACCTTGCTCACCCTAACCATGGATGGGAGCACCTTGGTCCTGCCTCAAAGTGATGTGTCAGACTTTGTTGACTCCCTATGAGATGCCTTACCCACTCTAAGGAGCAGATGGGAGGTGGGGGTGGGAAATGAGGGGGAAGTGGGAGGAGGAGAGGGCGTGGGAGTGGGATAGGTATGTAAAACGAATAAAGATCCCTTTTTAAAAATTAATTAATTGATTTAATAAATATATATTGATTTAACTTAGTCTCTCAGCAGTTAGCTCATTAATAGTCAAAAATTCAAAGAAAACACAATAGTATACATAATCCAGACCCTCTGTGTATTTTCCATCTTTACATAGTTTATTTCTTTTATATTACTTTTACTGTCTCTTTAAAGACTCTATTTTATTTTTTAAAACTATGTGATTTTTTCTTTAACTGCCTATACTCATTTTCCTCGTTTCTTAAGCTTGCATACATTTTTTGAACACACTGAGACTCATTTAGAGGTTGATTTTGTCTGAATCTGTCTTTATTGTGTATCTGTAATCTCTTTCTAATCACTGCTTTAAATTGTTAAGTGGGCACGGCTAGGAACAAAGTGGCAGCTTTGGCGGTTGGCTCTACCCCTGCTTGGCTTTCCAACACGGTGGGGGTTGCCTGAGAGTCTCACGACCCCCCACCCCCACCCCGCCCTGCCGATCTCAGGAGTTCGTGCAGTCATCAGGTAGTGTGCCTCCAGCCCACAGGTGTGAATAAAAGCTAAATACGCCACACAGCGTGCGGAGTCTCTCTGTACCGAGACTGTGAGACTGCCGAGACTGTGAGACTGCCGAGACCCGCCATGCTGCTTAGCTCATGGCAGCTGGCTGCTGGCTCCATCTTGCAGGGAGCTGATGGGAGGAAACACATCTCTGCGCTGCTTGCTGCTGGCAAGAGACTGTGAGACTAGGAAGCCCAATGCAGCTCTGTTTCTGTGCATTTAGAGCCTTTTTTTTTTTTAAGCTTCTCAGGCCCTATGGTTGAGAAGAGCCTCACGTTGCTGCACCATTTGTAACTGGAGGTTTCTCTCCCGCCCGCCAATTCCCGAATAACCAATGTGAAGATTAATATTAATTACAGTTTGACCAGTGGCTCAGGCTTCTTATTAACTAGGTCTTATGACTTAAATTAACCCATTTCTATTCTATATTTTACCATGTGGCTTATGTCTTGCTACTTCACAACTTGCTTCTCCAGCAGCTGCTGCCATCTCCCTGGTCTCTGCCTTTTTTTTCCTCCCTGTATTTGGTTTGGAAGGGAAACAGAAACCAACAACACGGGCAAACCGCTGCAGCTGCCCATTTGGACCCCAGGTTTTCTGTACATAAATTACACTCAATAAGGAAATAAACCAGGTTCCCTGCAAGTGTGTGGGAGCCAGCTGTTGTTTAGACTGCTGATGGAGAAGGTACAGGTACTGGCAGCTGAGAGATCATTTCTCCCAGAGAATAAAATAGATGGTATTCTGCCCTCTCATAGGCCAAAACACTTTTATTCATCAGCCAATAAAAGCAACACATATTCGCATACACAGAAGGACATCTCACATCATAATGCCACTCCCTATAGGTTAAGAATAAAAAACACATGAGTCTGTGAAGGCCATTCCTATCCAAATCACCATAGTGGCTCAATTTTACACTCTTTTGTCATACTTTACCTATTTTAAATTAATAAAAACAATGAATGCAAAAGACCCTTGTTTCACTACCAGATCACTTTTTTAGATTCACTTGCCTTTGTGTGTCTTCTTTACCTTTTTTATTCTCTGTCTGTCTATTTCTGTTCTTATCAGTGGATTCCTATCTATTCTATCTCCCCTCACTCTCTCTCTCTCTCTCTCTCTCTCTCT